TAATACGGGGGAGAATGCTGGGGTTGTGTAATACGGGGGAGAATGCTGGGGTTGTGTAATACGGGGGAGAAGGCTGGGGATGTGGAATACGGGGGAGAATGCTGGAGATGTGGAATACGGGGAGGAGACTGGGGATGTGGATTACGGGGGAGAATGCTGGAGATGTGGAATACGGGAGAGAATGCTGGAGATGTGTAATACGGGGGAAAATGCTGGAGATGTGGAATACGGGAAGGAGACTGGGGATGTGGAATACGGGGGAGAAGGTTGGGGATGTGGAATACGGGGGAGAATGCTGGAGATGTGGAATACAGGGGAGAAGGCTGGGGATGTGGAATACGGGGGAATAATGCTGAAGATGTGGAATACGGGGGAGGTGGCTGGGGTTGTGTAATACGGGGGAGGTGGCTGGGGTTGTGTAATACGGGGAGGAGACTGGGGATGTGTAATACGGGGGAGGTGGCTGGGGTTGTGTAATACGGAGGAGAATGCTAGGGTTCTGTAATACGGGGGAGAAGGCTGGGAATGTGGAATACGGGGAGGAGGGACGCAGTATGCGGGAGAGTAAGCGAAAAACTCAGGAGGAGGTTGGAGATCAAAAATAAGGGAACGAGGCATTTAGAAAACATACATTAGGAACCTAAACAGACTCACTCTCGATATTCGAGTGCTATGTTAAATAGGTAAACAACGATATCTGTCAGGCATGTACTAGCTGATCTTATTCGCCCACATTGTATGCACCATAATAATATATAGAGACATATATATATAGAGAGAGTCTAATAATATTATTTCTGTGGTATGCACTGGCTGTTGGGTGCCACTTGGGTCACGTATCCAGCATGCCTTTCCTCTCCTCTCTCGCTAAACCGCGACTTTTGGTGTTTTGAGGGTGAGATGTATCGTTCCTGTTCCATTATTACCTCCGCCAGGGGCTTGGCGGGGGTTATGTTTTCACCGGCGTGTGTTTGAGTGTTGGTTTGTGTGTTTGTGGGTTTGTGGGTTTGTTAACATGCACGTTTCAGTTCACTTCCGCTAGGTGCGCTGGCTGTAGACTTACAAACACGCAACCACAGGCTAAGGGGCAACCACAGTCCTCCCCCACCTGCACGCTCGCACTAATCCGGATCCAAATAATTATTTATTTAATTAATTAATTAATTAATTTTTCGACTTAATTAATTAATTAATTAATAAAAAATTTCACATTGAGAGAATTCAGCTGCCTTGGCGGAGGTCTGTGCTCTCCGAGTGCTCTAGTTCCGAATAGGAACTGAAGAGCGAGACGTAGCATCAGAAACATGGCGGGATAATTATACTATATTGTAAGACGGTACGCGATATTCACGATTTACATACTCTATGTGTGAAAGTGAACAACTTTCCTGGGCACAATACCATTGTATTTTGAGGAATAGATTAGGGTTAAATGTATGTATGAAAGGGGAAAACTGATCTGAGGCTCGTTCTAAATTCTAAATTCTAAAATGTATAACAAATGGCATCAGTATGCTAAGTGTTCAGCCGAGGAGTGAGAAGTAACACATGGTCACATAAGTTCTTGGATTTCGAATTTAAAGTTTAGACTATTCGAATTTCGAACATGCCTTCTAAGACTCCGTACACGTGCGAATAGCAATATGTTATATTACCACAACAACAGACTCTTGATTTCATCCATATTTGGGTGCCCGGGCACAAACCAAGTTAAGCGTACGAGCTTACTGGGTGAGGGGACACGTGCGACCCTGATCGTGCACGTTTTTTCCGTCTTCCATCTCTCACCCACACCATTGTTCGTCGGAGCGGGTTCAGCTGATCACGTGTTTTCGTCGTCCGCTGATCCCGGTCTACGTGGATCGATGGCGATCCGCTCTCTCAAGTGCGATTTGTCCAAAACTATAGAATTAGCGTGCGCGAGTAATCCACCTGTTCTCATCCGGAGTTTAACTATACTGACGCTCGAGGGGTCGTTGTCGTATCAGGTACTACAGATATGTACCCGTGGTACATATATGTATACACAAAGTGTACCAGACTTGTACTACAGAAGTGTACCCTAACCCTAACCCTAACCCTAGCCCTAATCCTAACCCTAAACCTAACCATAAACATACCTCATATAAAAATATAAACATAATACTAAACAACCTAAAACTACCTCCTAATTATATAAAAATATAAACATAATACTAAACAACCTAAAACTACCTCGGGTACATATCTGTAGTACCTGATACGACAACGACCCCATCTGCTATACTGACAGAGTTGCGTACGCTTGTAAATAGACGAGCCCATCAGGCGTCCGCATGCAGATCAACCACCCGCTAGCGCTAAAGGCAAACCTTTGTTAGCGGACACTCGTACAGAACGGACACTAGTCTATAAGGAACCATTTTTATCGTTTTCCCTGAGTGACAACTATACAGTGAAATCACCTCTACATAGAACGGTGACTTGTCTGTAAAGGACGATCTTGGCGTTTCTCTTGAGTAGCGGTTATACAGACATATATGATCCCATACATCAATATATTATATCAAGAGTCCATAATAGAAATGATCTCTATTATGGACTCTTGATATATATGTATGTATATGTATATATATATATTTCCCATAGATATTTGTTATAATTATTTGTTATAGGACATTCATAACTATTGTAAGAATTCTGTTAGTGCACGTTTATAACTACTGGAATAAATAACAGCGTGTAGTTTGTAAGTGCTGATGTTTGTGACTCTGTAGACTCTCATTATGAGCTTCCGTCACTGAGGGCTTACTCTATGTAGAACATGACGGTCACGTTGCAGATGGACCTGCAAGAGATACCACTGCACAAGGGCACGGAAGAGGGCTTCGCCAAGGAAGTGATGATGCTGATGAAGTTGATGGTGGATGCACCGTGGGTTGGGCAGCATCGCTGCAGTCTCACGGAGGAAACCAACGACTGCATACTTTGCTGGTCTTTCAGCACCTGGTATCAACTCGCACTACAGGTATATGATGTGTGCTGTAAAAAGCGAGAGCAGGTGAACGATGCGCGGTGAGGAAAATTCTGCCAGAATCGACTAAACAGTCTATATCTAACATGCGTATAAAAGCGCAAAGGCATTTCTAAGAACGAATCTATACCCGAAACGTGTGTATAGTTATGTATGTATACGCATGTATGTAATGTGCTATATATAGTATATATATATAATATAATATAATGTAATTATATATATATATCTGAGTTTGTGCATGCCTGCGTGGCATGTGTGCGTGTTAGTGGTAGGCTAAATAAATGCATGTTTTATTTCATGGTCATTAATTTCGCACGCGTTTTAGCTGCTTGAGAATATCTGTCTACAAAATGTAGGAACAAAATTGTTTAACCCAAAATTTACTGGAAGCACTGTGCTTCCAGTGCTTCTATCTGCGGGCGCCACTGGCATCATCCGTGATCCAAGACTAATGTAGTGTACAAATGAAATGTAAACAAGCAGATTTATATGCATCTGGTCGGCATACTGGTATATATTCGTTTTCCTATTCGCAGAGATTATAAACGAATTTCATCCCTCTTTAATCAAGGAGAGATTAATTTTTCAGATATAACCTTTTTTCTAAATGCTAAGTGAATTATAGGCTTATAAATTACATAATCATTCCACTTTTTGACAAAATATATGCATTTTATGATCCAATAAATAAACAAATAATATGCACACATTTTTCCTAGAACAATTCTAAAACCACCATGTGTGTACCATGCAGTTGAAATTTATTATATATGTATAGGTATTTAATATCTAGCTTATATTTATTTAGGTAAATATTAAAAGGTAGATATTAAATACCTATACAATAAACTTTAACTGCATGGTATATACACATGGTGTTTTGAGAATAGAACTGTTCTAGGAAAAATGTGTGCATATTATTTATTTCTTTATTGGGTCGTAAAATGCGTAAAAGTCCTTGTATCTTGTATCTTGTATCTTGCCCTGATTCCTGGACTTTAAAATAAATTTTTGCCCACTGATTATGGATTACAATATTAACTGCAAATGTATCTTTTATTGAACATATAAATGTGTAACATAATGTCATGTGATTAAATTGTTTCTGAACTTTAGGATTGATGGATAAATTTTTGAGTGAAACATGGGTACCAGAGCAGCAACGTGTAAGTAGATCAAGTTAATGTTCTCTTCCTATGCATGCATTTTCATAGTTAGTGTGTCGGATGCTTGAGCCAATTTATTACGGTTTCATTAACGCTTCTGTTATAGTAAGGATAGTCTTGGCTAGGTTAACCGCCTGTTATTACGTACGTGTTACCTGTCTAGCTGTGACATCATGTTAACATTTTGTAATTCCCAGATGTGCAACTCGGACAGTGAGAAAATCCCATCAAAATTCATGAACACAATGAATCCACATATCTGTAAGGACGCTACACATGTATTTTTGCTACACGAAACACTTGTGTATGCACCTGCATAAGCCAAGGACGTGCCGTAGGCGCTTGCGCTTTTGAGCTGTCACACATGCAAGCATATATATACACGATATGGCATGACGCTGTGAGGCACACACTTGCACACATGTAGCACATACCCTGGTGCACAGGGTTGAGCCAGTCTCAGGTTCCGCAACGCCACAGAATCTAATCGGTACTCGTGTTACCCTTTGTTAAAGTTTTTCCAGCGGCTACCAAATCTGCACAGTGACATCTAGAGTGAACTGGAGTATTAACAGCATATTATTTGCCAGTCTATACATGTAAAACAATAACTTTGCAGTACTCCTGTTCTGTCTGCATAGGTTGCTGTGATAAAATTGTAGTGCTATTATGATAGAGACATTAGCAAACGGGGTACAATCTATTTAAAGGGGCAGCTTAAAGTAACAGATTCACTACTAATTTCAAAGGGTATACGTATTAATTTCAACCGATATTAGATTCTGTGGCTCTGTTATTTGTGCCCACCTGCCCGCTCGGGCATTGACCAAATATATAACTTGTGTGCGCACGTATGTACAGATAATATATAAAAGAATTTAGCAAGCAGATACATAGCTATCTATGTTGTAGTTGAGTATTATATATATTGTATAGCGTTATGTGTCTGGTTGTTAGTGCTGGTGGTAGGTACTTCTGAAGCACCAACAGTTAATGTATGTGTTCTAGCTGTGTGTGTGTCAAATCCACTTGTGCTATTGCTTTTTTTTAACATTATGTTGGTCAGGTAAGTAATTATTTCAATCAGTTGTCGCTAAATTGGTTTTATATTTAGGTGTGGATGTATATTCGTATTTGTGCTTACATTTGTAATGTTGAATAAAATCAGTGTAAGCTTTTTATGAACTAAATTAATGTATGCTTGTTATACCATACAGTGTTTTTAGTAGAAACCATATATGTATTGTTCTGTTTTTGAGTATCACTGATCTATACATGAAAAGGTTATCGTGAGTAAAGTTGTGTTAATATTTGACCAAATAAATTCTATTTCTATTCAATTTTGATCACAGGATTTAAATGTAGTATATTTAGGGTATCTGTATTTATTTTATCGTTTCAGTCACCGCTAAGATTCGAAATCTAAATGACTATTATCAGCGCACTGTTAATAATATTGTGCCACTGCCGTCTGGGATTGACATTGCTAACACTCTGAAGTACTTCCAACAGACACTGCTCAGGTATTGTGCACACACACATACACCTATATATATATATATATATATTCTTGCTATATTCTTTTAAAATTTTAAATTATTGAATACAAGTTATCTATAGTGACCATTAAAAATCATCATGTTATACATATACTGCATATATCGCAAGAGTGTGACAGATATCGATGAATTTGTAGAAGATGATAGAAATTTATAGAAATTTATACATATATGCTATTGTACCTTCTGCACGTGTCATTTTTGATTGTAAGCACGTATCATTTGATTGTTCATATTATTGCCATTCCAAGTGTTCTGAAAGATGTGCCGAGTGTCAAAGCCGATTCGGACACCAGCCACCACAGGGACAGCGTTCGGCTGTCGATGTTTCCCAACCTCAACTACCAGGGTCTCTACCATGCTATAATCAACATCATCGACGTTGTACCACTGCTGCAGTTTGGCCAGTACAGTGAGTAGCGACAGTTACAGTTGCATGATAGCTCTTAACTGTCATGGGATTAATTATGCATTGAATTTATATTTCATATATATATTCTGCACTTTACGTGAAAACATTTTCTAGTGCGCGTTCTAGTATGTTTTGATTCACTGTAGCTGCCTGTCGACATGTTAAAGTTTTTACGACGTTATTTGAATTGGACTCTCACTATGTGGAGGTGCTTGTTTCTAAAAGCTTGAATTTATGTTTGGAAATGCATTTATTGGAAATGCTCAGAATCACTTGCAATGCATACTTCACTATCATCATCTTGTAAGCTTCTTGTGTGTGCGTGCGCGATTGTTTGCTTCATGTATTGATCTGTTAGAAAGAAGCAGTGCAGGCAAGGCATTCGCATTAGTTTCAGGTATTATACAGAGAGTACATGCATGGTGGGTTATTGCAAGGTGTTATTGATTATTGATGTAGCTGCCTTCCATTCTTTTGTAAGAGAAATTCTTGGGCGGAACTATGATGTAAAGTAAATTTGTAAATGGCACTTCATGAATAAAAATCGGGGCTCAGAGAGTCATCAATTGTTGCATTACACGCATGTGCGTTTCAGCTCAGTAATGATACCTAACACATAAAAATTAGGTGCACATGTGTAAGCATACATAATTCGCAGTTCTAGGAGAAATTATATATGTGCTGCAGAGATTGCTAATGGTTTTATTCCTTCTTCCTCTCCCTTCATACCGTCACACTTCACTCTTGGTTTATATAGATATATGGTTTTATTTTATTATCTTATTTGTTTTTAATTGCTATATATATATATATATATTTATATATTTAATATAGTGAATAAAACCTAGTAAATAATAATAATAAACCTTATATATGTGTGCGTGCATGCGTGCGTGCACGTGCGTGTGAGCTAACCTCTGGTTTCTTGCAGGCTTGGGGCAGGCTATCATCCAGACGCTGGCATGTCTCGTACAGTTCCTTGCGACGGAACTCATCGATGTCTTGCCGTACACCGTCGCGTCGATGCTGGCTATCTTCCCCAACACGCTGCACAAGGAGATCACCGACCTTCTCTGCAACAACCTCCTGCCACTCACGCTGGGTAAGGAAAGCTGCGCAGGTATTGTGCTGAGCTGTTCTCAGCCTCAAAGTGTTGTAATGTATATATCATATCCTGGCCTAAATATCATGGCAGGTATCATATCGTCGTAACGTGGCACGATTTCCCATGTGTGCAAGCATGGGTTTTTAAGGGGCGATTAATTACATGCTTTTCAGAGTTTCATATTAATTCAGGATCCTGGGATAAAAATCTGTTATGTAAAATTAAAATAATGAATAAATTGTTACATTATATGGAGATATGTTAATCCTAGATATGTGTCGTAATGTAGAATTAAAAAGAGCAAATACTGTGTACTAATCAAGAACTTAGTGTTTTGTTGCTACAAAACTGCATGAAAATCTAGCAGATAGCAGGAACCTGCATCTAGAATTCAACATTTTTATTAGGGGGTGGGCATGCTTCCAGATGCTCCTCATAACACAAGGCGCCTGCGGCCCCCCCGAAATCCTTCGACCATAACATATTTTGCAAAAATACATTTTCAGTCCTGGTTACCATGGGTTGCTGACACTCATGTAATTATAGTCTCTACAATTGCAGGTGACTATGAGACGGACGAGGCGGATGAGGCTTCCTATGCACGTCTGTCTACGTCGGCCGTCATCATGATGGTCCTGCAGTACACTGACAACGGGGGTAAATATTGCCCCGCCCCTCCACCACGACATGCTAGACACGCTAGACTTGTTAGACAGTGGATGTTTGTCGGTTGTCACAGCTATATAGGCATCTTTTTTGATCACCGGCGATGATATTGAATGTGATGGATATTGTCGTGTTGCCAATGATAATGGCAAACATATGCCAGATGTTGTTGAGTTGCTAACAATGATATCAGACATGCCACATATTGTTGAATTGCTGATGATGATGCCAGACATGCGAGTTTTTATATGGCAATTTATTTATTTCCATAATCTGAAAGCCTACATTCACATTATTGGTGTGATAATTATAATTTGTTCAGTCTTCTTATGCATTTTCCCGGACCTGTGACAAGATGATTTTCAATTTCTTACAATATACATATCATATGCGTACGTGTGTCAATTTATTTTAGCATATCACTCACATCTGCTGGAATGCCTCATGGCACTGAAGAGAGACGTAGCCAAGGTTTGTTATCTATGCCGACATTTTACCTTGGTCCAACATCAAACTAAAGCTGTCCACCCTTTCTAATGATGTTGCATTCATTATTGATGGTTATTTCAGCCTATTTGCAATTATTATATACTGTATATATTATATATATATATCACTATTTTAATATATTCTCTGATATTTGCGATGGGACTATGCCAACACTCTATGTGAATTTAACACGGATTAAAGGGATCCTTTACTTTAGGTTCTAGGGTTATTTTCAGTTAATTTAGGTTAAAATTACGTGACATAAAAAGTTTCATGGTTCAATGACCATTAGAAAAATTTAAAATTAAACATTTTTATGTTTTAAAACTAACAACTATAGTTTGATTACAACGACGGTGGCGCCACTGAAAGCGCACGATCTGAAAAGTTGCGCAAAACGACTTTTCAGCCAAGGGCTACAGACCGAGGGTGTTTCTTATTTATTAATTTAAAAGCAAAAGGATTGTAATATCTTATAAACGACATATAGTTTCAGTTATATTATGGATAAATTTGTTCTAAAATGAACATCGTTTTTGGCATAGCATTTTGGCAACATAGCATTTTGGTATAAATATAATTGCACCTTTGTGATTAGCCCTCGGTCTGTAACGTGCAAAATATATTGGGAAATCCGCAACTTTTTCAGGGTGGCAGCACGGTCGCGGTTGTCAATGGCGCCGTTCAAATTTCGTAGCGTTGATGTATAATTAATTATAACAATTAAATTAGGTATCTGGTAACAAGTACGTGTAGGTATAGACGATTTGTTATACAGTAAGTACGGTTGCATGCAGTAAAATCCTAGAGTCTAGTATCCCTTTAAATACTGACTGTATTTCGACTCACTTTGAATGAGTTGCAAGACCTTTATTTTAGTTCTAAGTTAGACCTTTAAAATGGTTCTCAAATAAACACGCAGTGAAGGAGAAACGTGTAACGTCTATGACTGATGTGCATGTGCTTGCCTCTGCTAGGATCTACTCTGTGTGATAGCATATGGCTCTGGTGGGCCCAGGGCTCCAGCCATCAACCTGCTGTTTCACTATTGGCCTACACTCTACTGCTCCATGATAGATCGCAAAGCCGTGCAGTACAAGTTTGTTGGTGAGCAAGGCGCTAGAGTTACTTTACTACGGAAAGTACTTAGTATTATTCATCAATACATAGTAGTATATTTGTGTTAGTGCTACATTGATGTAATTATAAATCATAGCATTTAAATCGATGGCTTCTGATATCATTGAAATTTTACTGTATTGTTAATTACTAAAATATTGGGCTTGTTATAAACATGGTTAATCTCTATTTCTTTATAGCATGGAAACCGATCACTTGTCAGAAAGATAACTGCCTCAACACAGACAGAAACGAAGCTGTGAAGGTAACCTTGCTGAATCATATAGCTGCAAAATAAATATACTTAAAAACCAGTGGAAAGCTGTATAGTGGAACCTGTAGTTGTACAGTACAGTTGTATGTAGGATGCCAGTATGTTGATACACAATAAGCCACCAGTATTTTATGGAAGAAAGGGATGAACATTATAAATGTATTATGATATAATATTAATCATGATATTATATATATATTTATTTTTTTTATATATCAGGAGTAAATAATCACATATTTGTGATTATTTACTCCTGATATATAGACCTAACAAGCAATAAGCGTGAGTAACAAATATAGTAACAGTATGCACGCTGGAAGAGCAGTCACGTCGCTCTCAGATGCGCTCCTTCCCGTTCATCTCCTTCGTCTGCTGCTGTCTAATCTCTGTCTTCGTCGTACTGCGCGCCGCCATCTTGCAGATGTGCATCGACCCGGCATGTTCGATCGAGCTCGGCGACCGGCCGCCGCCGCTCTACATCTGCCAGGAGTGCAGCGAGAAGGTGCGCGCCGAGAACCCGGACTACCTCGCCGACATCCTGCTGCCGATGGACTACGTGTCGCTCAAGTGCGAGAACAAGAACTGCATGTCGCTCGAGCGGACGGGCCACGCGACGTGCTTCTCGTTCGAGTGCGCTGGCTACAACCGCAACCGCCCGATCCGCTACTGCAGCGCGTGCCACGAGATGCGCCACAGCGGCGGGGAGGCCAGCGGGGAGGGCGGTGACGAAGACGACGCAGGAGGAGGAGGGGGAGGAGGGGAGCAGGGCAAACGGCACGTGTTCCACGCGACGCTGCCGTCACTCGTCGACTGTGGAGAGGAGCTGGCGCTCTACCTGGTGGAGACAATCGTCAGGTGAGCGCGCTTGCGGGGGGGGGTGTCTCCAAGGTCATGCCCGTGTCAAGGTCGAGTCCACGATCATTGAGATCTTGGCAGGGAGAGGGATGTGGAGGGTGAATAAATAAAATGGGAGCCCAGTGAAGATCTTTATCTCAAGGCCATCGTCACGTGAGCGTGGATGTCACCACGGTTGGAACACCAAGGTCATGTCCATGTCAGGTCAAGTCCATGGTCATCAAAATCTTGCTGGGAGTGGGGGTGGTCGGTGGGGGAGTTTCCCCGACTAGATTTTGGAGGTAAATAAAATGGAAGCGCAGTGAATGTAAATATCTCGGGGGGAGGTGGCCATCGTCAGATGCGTGCGGTGGTAGCTACAGTTGGAGCTTCTGAGGGCATAGCTCAGGCCTCGGAGGCTGCTGTCTCTGTAACATTCAACCCTCTTTTTATCTGCAGCCTTATGAAGGAAGCGCAGGTGGAGGTGAGGCATCGCCTGGACATGCTCGGAGAAGATCGCGAGAAGCAGCGGCCGTCGATGCCGCAGGACGCCGACGACTCAGCCGAGGGCGAGAAGTCTGAGGAGAGGCGTCTGCTGAGCCGCTACGGCATCTGGCTCGTCGTGCAGCTGTGCGCGCCCAGCGACAGCATCCCGCCGGTGAGTGCGAAAACCAAGTTCCCACGCCGCGTTGCGAACTCATGTACGTATAGTACATAGTGTGCATGTAATAGTACTCCTGGTAATGCTGTAATACTGTATATATATATATATATATACAGTATTATATATATATATAGGATATATATATGTGTGTGTGTGTGTATAATATATAAATAAATAAAGTATATAGTATATTATACTCTAGTATAGATATCGTATAAAGTATATCTACTAGTATACTACTATGTGGTATATATATATAGTATACTCATGTTCATTGTTGCATGCATTACTGATCATTTCGGGTTTAGTGGGTGGACTGTCTTGCAATGTTAGCGACCCATAATGCCACGTATTTCAGGAGACACTTGGCAGACTTCTTGCTGTGATCTTCCAGTGGTATGAAGCCACTGCATATCTTCCAGATGGTAAGCCTCTCTGGTTCATTGCTGTGATAACCTGTTGGGAGTGATAATACGTTACTCGGACAGAGCCTATGAATATTACAATATAAATTTGGACATCGAATATGGTAATAAAATTTATAGAGATTTTATGAAAGAGCTATTTCATGTTATGAAATTATTAAGTCAGATAATGTGTTGAGATACATCTAATATATTGGCATATTCCAGATAACATTGGTACTGCTTTGGAGAGCTTGAAGACAGAGGTTAGTAAAAAAATCGTTAACCAGTTTGTTTATATATATATATATATATATATACACTATATTACGTGAGCGTGATGAGTAGATTTCACAATCTTGTGCAATATTGTGACACGTACGTTTTAGCAGTGATTCGGCCCTGAAGTACGGCCCAGAAAGGTAACAATGATTTAAATACGTCGAATATAGAGCTCACCATTTAAGTGATATATTACAAATTGTATCATCGCAAAACCTCACACATAATGATAAACACACAACATCACAAAATAACAGACGCCAACATTTTCATAGTTATATATAGATGTTAAATATTTACATATTGCTCTTCACAATACACTAACATACAAATAATTAATGGAATTTGTTTATACGACATATTATCGTTAATTTTAAAATAAACGCACAGCGCACGATTAGCTTGCAGTGCTACACTAGTACTACTCCTAGCACATTAAAGTACTTGGCCTGTACATTTCATGCGGTTTATTTTTAATAAGACTTAACTTGGTTTTAGCAATCTTGAATATAATAATTAATTGGCTATTTAAAATGTATAATTACGACATCGAGGCGTGCGCGTGCGCACGCACTGTCCGCATATGCTCACAGAAATACGTTTACATTTACGAGTATAATTTACATCGTAACTTTACCGGACACAGACATCGGTTGGCGTGCGTGTGTAACCGCCGGCGTGCCTTGTGAGTTATTTTTTAGTCCGGCTTGAGCTACACTTGAAAAACGCATTTGAATAGTTTGATATTTTGCTATATTTATACGCTGAATAACTGACGAACTGACGAGAGAAGTCTTGCTCGTTTATACAAAATTTTCTTTCGAAATGAGAATCGGCTGTTTTCGTTGCCTAACGACGGAATTAATTTGCTGGTTGGAGACTCATCCATCACATACCAGCCCGTCGTCACAACCCAGCGTCTATGAATACTGACAACAACTATATATAGTAACATTAGTCATATTTGCCGTCCCTCTTCAATGCTGTTTGCAAATTGGGTGTGTCATTAGTTTCGTGTGATTACGCATTGCTTCGTTTGGATGAGCTCTCTTGTTATTAGAGAGATATCTTCCACTAGGCCGCTCTCTCTTTCGCTTGCTCTCTCTCTCTCTCTCTCTCTCTCTCTC